GGGAGGAATGCGGAGTTATTGCTTAATGATGACAATTTTTGTTTGGGGTGATGAAAACGTTTTAGAAATAGTGGCATGGTTGCACAATGTTCATAGTAGAATATCACTGAATTGTACACTTAAAAATGATTATAATGCCAAATTTTATGATGTGTTTTATCACAATTTAAAAAGAGAAAAAGATCATGTATACGGTCATTCCTACTCGCCTTGCTTCTCCAGGCCATTTGTAGGATGAAGACAAAGACTTTTAAAAATATATATATTTTTATTAATTTCAGAGAGGAGGGGAGAGGGAGAGAGAGATAGAAACATCAATGATGAGAGAGAATCATTGTTCAGCTGCCTCCCGCATGCTCCACATGGGGGATGGAGCCCACAACTCTGGGCATGTGCCCCGACCAGGAATTGAACCCTGACCTCTTGGTTTATAAGTCGATGCTCACCCACTGAGCCACGCCAGCCAGGAGGGGACAAAGACTTTAAAAAGCATTAAAAAATATACTTTGAGGGGAAGGTATAAACAAGCAGAGACAAATGCATGATGCAGGACCATCAAATTTAAAGTGACACTTCTCTATTATTATCCCGCAATTTCTCAGCAAAGTGAAACCTGTGAGCTGATCCTGGGAAAATGCCAGTTCTATACATAAGCTATTTAATTTTTCTGGATAGGGTGTAAAATAACTGTTAAAGCTATAAAAGATACCATATGGCGCCAAAGGAAGGGGGAAAAAGAGGTTTTTTTCTGTTGTTGTTACTTGATGAATAGTTATTTCTCTATTCTCTTAAAAAAAAAATAAAGGTACCATTTAAGAGAAAAATTTCAAAAGTGTCAAGAAGACATATCCAAAATGGAAAGAAAGTTGAAAAGATAAATAAAACGAGCATTCCTTTAACTATATTTGGCGGAGTCCTGCAGAGAAAAAAATTCCAGCGAGGCAGCATTGAGACATAGTTTATTAATGTAGTTTCTCCCACAGCAGGACACAGAGAAATTGGTAAAACAATCACATAAAGAAATTATGACTCTTACATCTGATCTTTATGACTGCACAGAAAAGGAACTGTCCTCTTGAGTTGTCCTTGGGCCACGTTGAGGCAGAGATTCAAAGAATTGTTTCCCCTCCCAAGCCCCACAATAGCACTGCTTGCTCATACATTCAGAACAGACTGAAAGCTACGGCTCGTGTTTTGCACACTGTAGTAGACTGAGCCGCACTTATGAATTAAAATCAGTTTAGAGCAGGGGTCCTCAAACTACGGCCCGTGGGTCACATGCAAATACAAATATTGTATTTGTTCCCGTTTTGTTTTTTTACTTCAAAATAAGATATGTGCAGTGTGCATAGGAATTTGTTCATAGTTTTTTTTTTAAACTATAGTCCGGCCCTCCAACGGTCTGAGGGACAGTGAACTGGCCCCTGTTTCAAAGGTTTGAGGACCCCTGGTTTAGAGGGTCACACCTGGCAATGGGAAGTAGAAGAAGAGAAGAGAATGAAAATGGAATTGAATATTGAAAGTGTGTTGCATATGCTGCTGTGGGAAACTTTGATTTCAGTCCTTTGTGTGTGTGTGTGTGTGTGTGCGTTCTTGTGTCTGTGACTTATTGTGAGTTCTGGTAGAAAAATCAACCAAATAAACAAAAAAGGGGAAAGTTACCAATCAAATCAAACACCTCCCATTCCAGGTAAGACACCTGGAGTCAGAGAGGGGCAATGACTTTCCCAAGTCACACATGAGTCAGAAGTGGCCCAGGTCTCTTGACTCCCAATATCCTCTAATGATCAGCGCATGCTTGCAATTGGGTATCAACTGTGCCTGTGGTTTCCAGACCACCTTGGTAGCTTACTTTCTATTCCCTTCTGGAGCAATCCAAGCAGACTTCCTTCTCTCCTCTTCTGCCCCTTCAGACCTTATACCATATGGGATTAGAGGTCCTGTGGGAAGGGACAGATGTGTGGGGAGACAAATAATGAGTGCCCAGGCTGGGATCATCCTGGGCTATTGGGTAGCTCAGAAAATGCAAATTCTACAACTGACGAGATACATGGGAAGCTGATGAGATACATGAGAAACAGAATCACAGCCTCCCTGTGAAAAAGAGGGGGTGCACGTGACGACGCATATTGAGGGCATTCTCAGGAAGGAGACAACCAGCTGACAACTGTGGGCTTTAGGTAATTCCTGCCAGACTCAGGCACTCTGGCTGGTCTTCCTGGGCCAAAATCGAAGCATGTAGAAAGTCGTCTGTGACTGCAGAGATATGGCAGGATTATGAAAGAGGGTCCTGCCTGGGGCTCCAAGTGCCTCTGGTTTTGACTTAGAGGAGAAAAGTATCTACCCCACCAATAAACAAACACTTACAGTGCATAGGCTATGTGCCAGGCACTGTTCTGAGGATATCACAAATATTTACTCATTTAATCCACATAATCAACCCCTCAGCCTTAGAGAGCTCTGCTAGCCGCCGTCATGGGCAGAAGGTTGAGAAGTGTTGAGATGTGCTAGAATGATTTGTTTTGCTTCCTGATTCAGGAGGGCAAGTATCTTAATAGAGTTTAGAGCTATGTCACTGACAATGCGAATTAATCAACAGACAAATCCACAGAGAAAAGGTCGACTGCCTACTTTCTCTTGGCAGAAGGAATTGGGAGGATTGTTCTTCTTGCAAAGATTCATCACCTTTTGATGCTTTCCAGAAGTGGCGATGAATTTGCAAGGAGCTATCTACTTTTAATAAAATCTCCTCATATAGTTGTGGTATAATTCCCTTCTGCAGAGTCTGCTTAGATCCTGAAACAACCCATTCAAGCCCATGTCGAGGCCAAACCTGTGCCCTTGGCCTTATGATCCAGGGCTTTCCATAGTGTTAGATGAGGGTCCTCAATGTGTTGAATTAATTTATTGCCACACTTCAAAAACCGAACCTGACTTTGAAAACTGCTAGATTTGGTTTTGATGATGAGAATTATTCGTAAAAGTTTACTGAAGTGTAAGAAGGGCAAGTTTTGTTAAAGATGAATAGGAAGTGAGTTTTTTAAAAAAATACTTACGAGGTGCCCTTATGTTTTATATGTTAGCATTTAAATCCCAGCATACTCTGATCGAATCTCCATTTCATAGACAAGGAAACTAAGTTAAATGACTTGCTGAAAGAAAATAGGTGAGGGACAGAATTCAGAATATAGTCTCTGCAGAACCCATTACTTTCCACATCATGCTGCAGTCTGGAAGCTTTTTTCCCCTTCACCTGCAAAATGATTTGGCCCTAACAGCATTCACTGACCATGGCAAAACTTTAATTGATCTTTCTGTCCCACAGCCTACCGATTATCCACGAAGAATAAGCAAGTTAAAACCTGTTCTCTGTCATTAAGTCTTGGTTCCCTTAACAACTCCACCATGTAATTAAACTTATTCTCGGCCAGGCAAATACGGTTCACTAAAGAATCTAAGAAGTCATTTAAATTATGCGTGGTTTCTTGTTCTGGGTTACCCATGGTCAAGTCTGGGCTTGGAGCTGAAGTTTAGGAGGAATGTGGAGAATGCTGTTGGCCCAGAACTCGCCAGTGTAGAAATGAGATGGGAGTCAGGGTGTATTTCATGCACAATCTGTGAAACTTTGAACTTATCTCTGGTCATGGTTTTCCTTGACGACCACAACGGGTAAAAATGCAGGTTGCTGAATAGTTATCCTTTCCTCGGAGCAGCCTCCCTTGACTTAGGCAGCAAATCTCATAGAGTTATTCATTGGTTATCAGAAATGGAAAATGTTTCTTTTTGAAAGGTAATTATCGGAGGTCTCTCTCTAACACTGTATTGAAAAAAGAAATATTTGTCATTACCAGTACATTGTGGCTATATTATGAAAAAAATTGGCTATCACTACAAAGTTTATGGATTCTATTTTTTTTTTCAGTTGAGATAAGATTTGGCTCAGCATAAGGCACTGAAACATAAGGGTGGCATTAAATTGTAGTTAAGTTACACGCTGTGTTGCCATGCAGACTGAGAAGGGAACCCACAGAGATTTAATATCTTCAGGAGTCTATAAAACTCCAGGTTTATAAATACTAGTCAAAGAAGACATTTTAAAGTAAACAAAAGTTTACTTTGGAGTTAAAGGTCATTACATAAAACAAAGATAACAGGCAAGATCACTTGGACCCAGACATCAAATAAAATGCCAAGATAAAACACCAATGGCTTGTAAAACAAAAAGCCACTTCTCCCCTCCTCCATGGGTCAAAAGAAGTTTAAGACAATCCAAAAATATTTTCTAAATTTAAAGTCCCCAAGAAGGAGAGGCCAAATGTCAAATACAAAGCACTGCACACTTTTTTCCCCGGGCTCCCAATGGCTGCTCTGAGGGGACCGTGCTATTACGACCTGGAAAAATAAACAGTATCATCTCTGAACAGAGCTGGATGCTGAGTCCAGATGTTGGAGATTATGATCTCCTGGATGCAATGGAATTTATGCCAGATTAAAGAGAAGAATTAATTTACGACTTTCTCTACCTGTTCACAATGTGTTCAGCTTATTATTTGTACACATTGTGATGCACGGTAATTACAATGCTGAAAACAATGTGCAACATGTGACCACTGTAGTTAAGTTTAAAAGGGGGGAATTTGTCATCTTAGAGTCTGCACATCTGGTTCTATCATAGTTGCCACATGATTAATATAGGAATATATTACACTGAAATCCCTTTATATCAAAGTTTTATTTGCCAGGAAATAGAATACTTTCCCCTCTCTCTCCATCTTCCCCCACAGGCTATGCTGAGACCTGAAATTTCCAGCACTAGGGTTCATTTGAGTGAGCAGAACAGGGAATCTGTTCTTGTCTTTGTGCAATTAATTCTGTAAGTTCCATAGTCACAACTGGGGTTTGTTTTAAAAGCGCATTCATAAAGGAGAAACCCTAAAACTCATTCTAAAACCCGACAGGGCATCAGATACCTCCAACAGTTAAAACCATCAGGAATTAAGTTCTAAATTTTAAACTCCCTTTTATTGAAATATAAGTTTGTTTAGTATATTTACACCACACTTTATCACATATATACATAGTAGGCAAATTTTGTCAAATAAAAAAGTTTTTTTCTCAATACAAAATTAAAATAAAAACAAAGTAAAGTGCATGAAACTGATTTTCTTTTTCTTCTGGTGAACATCATCATTGTCAAAATTTTGGTCGATTGGGGGAAAGGGGGAGAAATGCATTATGTGATTCAGTGCACACAGCCAACCAGTCCCACATTTGCAGCCTTCAGGCCAAAATGACAAGCGGTAAAGAACAAGTCAGATATACAGAGTCTGCAGGGCTCCCCAGGTTCTGGAGGTCCTGATCTCTTTGTCTTATCCGGATCCGTTCCCCAGCTCTTACCAGTGATCTCACCATCACCAGCTGGAACAAAGGGAGAACACAGGAAGGGGGCTCCACCAGCCAATGTCACAGCCGCCTCTGGCCGCCAGCGCTGCGTTTGGTAGAAAACTGCAGAATGAGCTCAAAGGCTCAAATAGAAGTTTCCCTTTTTGGGAAAGAGGAGGAGGAGGAGGAGGAGGTCGAGGAATAAGGATGCATCTCCCACAGAGACAGCCACGGCGGGTGGGGGGGGCAAACTCAGGCAGCCAGTTTCTTCCTATTCAAACTCCCTGCTGCCACAGGGAAGAATCCTTTTATAAGCCGGGTGGAGGGGATGTTACACTTCTCACCTGGGTGAGTTCTCCCAGAACTTTGAAAGGAAACAGCTTTGAGACAGAGAGAAAGGGGGCAGGTAGGTGAAACTGAAGTTTTCAGCAGCCTTCTGGCTCAAGCCACTGGCAGGGCGTTGGCTGGCTGGTCCCAGGCGGTGGCAGAGGCGACAGCCCTTCCCCCATCATCCATTTCCCCGGCCAGGGGTTTCCCTCGCTCTCTCTCTCTTCCTCATGGTGATACTAAGTCCCAGGTCTGCGGCCGTACTTGGCCTTACAGTGCAAAATGTGCTTGGCAAGGAAGTCGAGGCGGCGCTGTAGTAGCTGAGCATGGGGATGGGCGAGCTCAGCCAGCTCCGGGAAGCGAGGCTCGTGGTGCTGGTAGAGGCGCAGCAGCCGGGCGGCCGCGTCCTGGCCGCGGTGCAGCTCCAGGACGCGCCTCGCTGTCCGCTCTCGGAACACACACACCGACTGCAGCAGCGGCTCATTGTATTTGTCCCACATGCCCGCCACCCGGTAGCCGTGCACCAAGCCCGCCTCGTTGTCCAGAAAGACCAGCGCCCCGCCGGGGCCGCGGTGCAGGTTGCTGGTGGCGCGCTGCATGACGCGCGGATCCCACTGCAGGCTGAAGAGGTTGCTGACGAGCCGGTCGAAGTTGGCCGTCAGGTAGTCAAAGAGGATCAGGTCGGTCCATTGCACCAGGTCCACCAGCTCCTCCCGGCTGCGGTTGGCTAGCTCGCCCCCGGCGGCGCGCAGGGGCCGCAGCTGGCCGTCCTCGGAGCGCCAGGGCGCGGGCACCACCACGTCCGTGAGGTTGGGCAGCCAGCTCGTCAGGCTCACCACGCTGCCCTCCGTCCAGTGCGCCGCCCGCAGCTCCTCTTGCACCTGCGCCCACTGGGCGCCCCGAGCCTCCACCCGGGAGAGTGCCAGCGGCGGCACGTGGCGCTGGAGGCCCAGCAGACACGCCAGGTAGTAGGACAGGGCCTCGCCCTGGATCTGCTCGGGGTTGATGCCGTAGCGCACGCAGGCGCGGGTGCCGTCGGCGAAGCGCGCCAGCCGGTTGGAGCTGCGTCCGCAGCCCCCGCGCTCCAGGGCCACCACCCGGGCGCCGCGCGCCGCCTGCAGCCACGCCGCCGCCTGGGCCTCGGAGAAGCCGCGGGGCACCTGCTCTTCCAGGCCGCGGCTCCAGAAGACGCCCCCGTGCACCACGGCGGGCTCCTCCGGCCGGGGCCGCCCGTCGGGCACGCGCCGCCGGCGCTCACCCGGGGGCCGCCGCGGAGGACCGTCGGCGCCGGCCGCCAAGGTGAGCAGCGTCCGGAAAGTTTTCAGGGAGGCGCCGCGGGGGTCCCGCGCCCGGAACGGGGCCTGAGGGGAGCGGGGCGCCGACTCCGGGCCGCCGCCCCCGGCCGGGCGGCGCGGGGTTCGGTCTTCGGGCGGCCGGGAGGCGGGCAGCGCCGTCCGCGGCGGCAGGAGCCGGCCCCACAGCGCCAGCAGCGAGCCCAGCGCCAGCAGCCAGAGCCCCGCGGTGGCGGCGGCGCCCCGCATCCTCCTGCCCATGCTTCTCCCGCCGCTTCAAGACGAGCCCGGGCGCCCGGGTCCCGGCGGCGAGGCGGACCCGGCTGCCGGTCGGCTCCCGGGCTCCGGGCGCTTCGGCCCCATCGCGGCCGCGAGGCGGTGCGGAGTCTCCCCGGCGCTGGGAACTCGCTGCGCCGCCGCTTCCCAGCTGCTTTTGTATTTCGCTGTGAGACCCTCCGGCGGGCGCGATTCACAGGCGTCCGGACCACGTGGGCGCGAGGGGGATCCCCCTCCCCCTCCTCCGCCGCCGCTCCCGCCCCCCACTCCTCCGCCCCCTTCTCCTCCTCTTCCCCTTAAAGCGGCAATGGCTGCTTCGGAGAGGCAGCCCCACACTGGGTTGGGGACCGAGGGGCGGGGAGGAGGCCGGGCGAGCGGAGCCCGCGCGGGGGCGTCGGAGGGGGCGGCGCTGAGCTGGAGTCCGGCCGGTTGCGAGGGACGCGCCCGGGCCCTGGCGGGGGTAGGGACTGGTCGCGGGGTCTCTAGGCTTGGGCAGGGCCTGGCCTCTTCCAAACTTCGGACTAACCCCCACTGCGCCCAGGCGCAGCCCGAGCCGGATCAGGGCGGGTCCCTTTGCCTTCTCCGTTACCGGCGGTGTGATTCACTCAGCCTTATGTAAATCTCTGGGAATTTCTCTGAGCCACAGAGGCTGTGACTCCAGAGGGTAGAGGAACCATTTATAGCCAACAGCTCGGAACCGACACCCACTTGCCCGAGCGCGCTCACCTCCACCGGTCACTGTGCTTTGAGGTGGGTCGCTCTGCCTTTCTTGGGCCAGTGGAGCATCTAGGTCAGCTCCATTCATTCCCTCACCCGTTCCACGGTGTCTGCCCTCGGTTCTGGCCTCAGTAAAATCCACAGATCCGGGTCCCTGGGCCCATGGAGCTTATATTACAGTCTAGGGGGGCGTTCAAGTTGCTAGGAGAGCATGGTGGCCCAGGATTAGACCTAGTGCGGGAGGTGAGGGCGGAGGGGGTGTCCAGGACGATTTCTCTAAGGAAATGATACTATTCTATGAGAAAATACGCACAAAGCAGGGCTGGCGGTTGCTCAAGATCTCACAGTTAGCAAGTGGAGAAACTAAAATTCTAGCTCGGGTCTCCTGGCAGCATGCGCTCGATTTTCCCTCCATCAAACAAGTTCCATATTTGTATCAGGTTGGTAATTCATTCTCTCTCTCTCTCTCTCTCTCTCTCTCTCTCTCTCTCTCTCTCTCTCTCTCTCTCTCTCTCTCTCTCATTTACCCAATCACTTTATTCCCCAAATGTGGTTTTCGATTCAACAAAGAGAATCCCCATATTGCATTTTACTTAATGGTATAACGGTTTAAGGGTGAAAAAAATGGTTGGAGGAGCAAAACCTAAGAAAACAAATAAGACAACAGATCACATTGTCTTCCAGACACCTTTGAGTTCAACCCACCAGGAAAACTCTTAGATAAGAATGGGGGTTATTTCTTCCCTCTCTGTACCAGTGTGTGTCCCAGATCCAAACCCCAATTCCCAGGCAAGGCACATGATTGCTGGTGGGGATGGAATCCACCTCCTGAAAGCAGTTTTAAATTTGTTTCCGTACCCGTGTTTCTTTTCTCTCTTTTTATCCCCATCAACTGCACGTGGGGGTTTCCGCTATATTAGGTCATCAGCGGACACTGAGTGTATTTTATTCACCAAAGAATGAATAATGCTCTGGGAAGACACCCTGATTTTGTGGCTGAGCAGCGGCATCCGACCACACCGAGGGCCTTCCAGCACTGACCCACTATACTCTCAGGTGTTTCCATATTGATCTTTGTTGCATCTGTTCTGCACCACATTATAGCTATATCGTTGCCTTTTCATAGATCTTATCTGATGATGAGATTACTGCTGCTCCCATATGGACATATCAAAACATATGAATTCATTGAGGGGTACTGTCTTCCTGCTCTGTGCAAGCTCCCTACCCCTACCTTTCCCTACAGGGCAGGGACTATGTCTTATCAACTTTCTATTTCTCTTAACACCTAACAAGGCATATTACACTGAAGAGAGGCTCGACGAGTTCAATTTTAATTTTTTGACTTTTTGATTAGCTTCCGCTGAGACTTTTTTTCTTTCTTTTTTTTTCTTTTTTTTTTGAATGCTTTGCTTTCAGCTTGGGTAAACTGTAAGCAAGATCTCCACCTTGTGGGCAGAAGTAGAATATCATCTAATTAGAGAAAATGCATACATTTTAAACGAACAATTAATTGTTTAAGTTAAATTCTGAGAATATTGTGTGGCTACCATGGCTTACACCAAGTGCTAGGTTCTGTGGGGGAATTCAAAGTAGTTGGTGTCTCTGTCTTTTTAGCTGTTAACAAAAGCTATACATAATCAAAGGGATAGTTCGCTGTAAACTCCATGAGGAGTCTGTCTTGTCTGTTGTTTTATAGTTTCCTGACACAATGCCTGGCACTTAATGGTATTCATTAACAATTTGCTAAATAAGTAATTGGAATGTTAATGAGACGAATGTCTGCAAGTAGTATTTATTAAATCTTTTTTTTAAAATATCTTACTACAAAAGGATACATTTATTCTACGAGGGAAAAAAATATCAATGAAGCCTCTGCTTAATGTAGGAGGAAGCATATGATTTTCAGTCTGGGAAGGCTGGTCTCAAACCTGGATATCCCAACTACCAGAATCTTCCATTCACATGGCTGGTGCTGATGAAGAAACTGAGTCTTAACGAAGTCGGCTAAGATCTCACAGCTCTAAAGACAGGTTGACTTGATCATAGACCCTTTGCCAGGCCTGAATGCACGGTGTATCAGACCAGGATACACCAATAGGAACTTGATCAAGTTCATTAACAGGCAGAATTACAGAAAACCAAAGGAATAAATCAAAACCAAAAACAAACCCAGCGAGGAATGCAGTTTTAAGGTGGCGTTTGATTATTTTACATCAGTGATTTTCAGCTGGTGCACCTCAAGAATTAAAAAAAAAAATTTAAATACTCATGTGTTATCCTGCCCCAATGAAGATTCAGAGTGTGCATTTTTATAATAAAGGCTCTCATAAATCCTGCACTAAACAAAAGCATTGAATTGGAGAAAAAAAAAAAAAACAGATACAAAAACAACTGCAATACCAGACTATTTGGTCAGGGGCACTGACCTCTTTTCCCTTAGATTGTCCACAGCCAACACAACAATAGCTGTCCTGTGCGAATGAATCAAAATTATACCTACATTTTTGTCAGATTGGCAAAACATACAATGTATTTTTTGGTGTGCTGCAGAATTTTAGTAATTAGTTTATGTGTGCCCTGAGACGAAAAAGATTGAAAATCACTATTTTAGACAGAGTTGGAGGAAAACACTTTTGTTTTCCTTCACTTCCCAGCCTGAGGACACCCCACCAGACACCCATGGCCAAGCCACTGTGGCTCCTGGGTTCAGCACAGCTCATCACAGTGTGTAACCTTGGCCCCATCTCCCCCTCGGCAGGTGCTGAGGGATGAGGGAAGCTGCTCCTCATCTATCATGACATCGGTACCAATTTTCACCTTGAAAACTTTCTTAATATAATTCCTCAGAGCTTCTCTCTGAGCCTCGACTTCCAATGGCCTCCAACTCCCACAGACCTGTTTGAAGAATGATCTGGTTCCTATAACAGTGCCTCCTGGGGAAGAGAGAGGAGGTGGAGTTGAGGGTTGGGAGCAGGGCAGCAGCTTGGAGTTGGAACATATTCCAAGTCTGGTGTTTCCACTTTCTGGCCGTTTCCTTTCTGGCTAGTTACTTCCCTTCTATGAGTGCTGGTTCCCGCACCTGAGAAATGAGGCTAGAGAAGCTTCCTTACCTCATGCGGTTGTTACGAAGTTCTAGTGAGATATTAATCATCACACCAACATTAGCTTCAAACACATGTTGGGCTTAAGATGGGCTTGGCCTAGGGTTTAAACCCTACTAGCAGGTACTATTGTCCCCATTTTACAGGTGGGAAGACTGAAGCTTAGCCAGGCAAGCATGTCAAACTCGCGGCATGTCAAACTCGCGGCCAGGCGGCGAGTTTGACATGCTTACAATGGATCTGAAATCAAGTAAACGGCAAGGCTGAGATTCAGAAGAATGAAGGCAAAACGTGCTGCAAATTGTAAACTGATAGGAAAATGTCAAATCTAAAAATTATTGCATTAAATCAAAGTGGACTCAACTCAGATTACATTTTGCTTGGAAATGTTCTCTGGGGTTGCTACTAAGTGAAATGGTTAAGAGCATGAACTCTGAAGCCAGACTGGGTTTAAAACTAACCAGTTGTGTGACCTTGAGTAAGTTACTTGCCCTCTCTGGGCCTCAGTGTACTCATCTGTAATGTGCAGTAATAATAATATTATTGGTATTATGAATATTAATTATAATAATTCTATAACATCTGATAATTAATAATAATAGTAACAAACCCTATAGATTATTATAATGATTAAATTTGTCCCTATCAAGTGCTTAAAAGATTAAGAGTTTACTATTATCATTTTGTTATTCCCTTTTCTTCCTGTGTCCCTGTTTCTTTGTCCAGATGGGGGCCTCTTCCTTTTCCTGCTCTGTCCTCCAGCAAGCATCACTTGGGTCTTGAGGGACCAAATCAAGTGGCGTTCCTGCCCAGTGCACCCTCTTTATGCCCCAAATAGACATCTGCCCTGAAAATGTTGCTGTTTTCCTTCCCCATGGAGCGGGGCCAGCTGGACCCTCTCAGGGTTCCCCGTGCAGCTCTTCTTGAAAGACTAGAGAGCCTCCAAACCAGCCTCGAGGTGCTGGCTTCCTCTCACTACTCTGCCGCCTGCAATCCCAGCCTTTTCTGGGTCTTCTGAGTTATAGGACCCTCCCCCCAAAGATACAGGTTTCTGAACTTACCCTTCTAGATGCTTCTACAAGAAGGAAGAGAGAGAAAGACCATGTCAAAGAGAGGACTACAGTATTCCTTGAAACTGGGTATGATTCCTGCTTCAGCCATCACCAGCTGTGTGACCTTGGGTAGCTTTCTAACCTCTCTGGATCAATTTCATTATTAGTGTCTCCCTCTTCTTCATTCTTTCTCCTTGCTAGGGCACATTATTTTTCTGCTTGGAGATACTTTTCTTTTTTCTTGGTGTTTCTCTATTTAGGACAAGATAGATCTGGCTCTTCCAGGAGTTGCTTAAATGATCTTATCCTCACATACCTGGCTATCAGAGGCAGGTGTAGGCACACCTGGTTCCAGGTAACTCCTGCTGGATAG